CAGAGCTTTAAAAAATGCGTCATACAAAGAAGTAAGCGAGGATATCATATGAAAATTAAATAAATCAACACAAGAATAAGATGTCTTCAGTTAAACACTTCCAATAAGGAAACAAACAAGACAGATTTACTTTAATCAAAAGAGATATATAAAAGTTTATAAGCAAAATTATGTCTAACTAAATCAAGCAACTGCACTACACGATCTTTGAGATTCTAGTTGGATAGTTGTGAGAACTTAATAAATGTTAATCTAATAGTCTTATATCTTCCATTCTGCTTTTATCATAAACGTATCATATCTCTTCACTGTTTACATTCAAAGACGATCATAAGTAGCACTAATTTATACAATGCATCCTGGCTTTTAATGAAAGTACAATGGTATCAGAAGATACACTGCTATTAACACAAATATACTGCTAGACTAATTCTACTGATTCATCACAAAAGACGAGTAATAGTATATACTTCTGTGCAGTGCTTCAATAGCTACTGGTTTAAAGCTTAAATCATAAACTTGATTAGTTTTCTCTTTAGATACCAATTATATGGTAGACAATAAGAATGATGAATTTAGTGAGAATGTATAAAGTTTAATCGAAGCAATGAAAAGCATTCAAGAGAATTTCAAAAACATTCAATATTCATTTGTATACCATAGAATAAAGGTATTTAGTAGGAATATCCGATCATCAGATTTAAATGGTTAAAAATAGACCATCGGATAGATTTTGTTTAATAATTTGTTATTCATAACCAAAAGGGGCTAATGATATACATCGATAGATGTGAAACTTGCAAAGGATCTGAGATTTTATGCACTGACATTATACTGAAGTTAATGACTTATTAATCTAATCTACGACTACAGGGTTATAGTTTATGTAGGACAGTGAACCAGTTGAATGTTTAAGACTTGGAGGAAAATTGAAACTGAGTAAATCCGCATCCGTTACCGGAAGTCACCTTCTATATATTGGAATTATATAATTTGACAGTTGATGATAACTCAGTGATACAGATATGTCTAAAAAAGAAAAATCGTTCCAAACTTTGACCGAAAGAAGTTATATATCTAAAATTTTCTTTTCTAACTACCTTATTTAAGTTTTCAAGGAGCGGTGGCATGATGAGTAAAGCGCTTGAATTTCGAAAATTCTATAGGAGACTTTAAGTCCAATATCCGATTATGTGAATCTGCAAACAACTACTTACTGAGCATTGTTTAAACATAACGATAAAACTTAGATGAATGAGCAAAGATAAAGAGGTAAAGTAAATTAACCACCCAAATAACCCAAGGAAGAACTGTGGATTATAACACACAGAGAGGAAGCCAAAGGATTGCATTACTTAGACAAGAATGCGCATTCACGTAAATCTAGAATTGGTTTTTCCTATGACTGATAAGTTTATGTGGATAAGTATGCACTCTGAAGGTGAAGAATTCAGTAAGATTAATTAATCCAAAACCTCGAGAATCTGTCAAAACCATCAGTTCTGAGAGATTACAATTCACACTTTTAAGATATTTAGCTATCAAGATCAATTATACGGAACGAGTTTATTGCTAAATTATGTCCCGAATTCGTTTTTTTTTCACATAAAAAGTACTACCAGATGTGATTGAATAGCTACCTTGAACTATGCACATCTAAAAGAAATAGTTATCCATTGACCACTCACTATGCTTCTTCAACAAATATCCTCTCCAACGATATGGGTGACAGTATTCAATTTTCTGAATTGTAGTGGAAGACCTGGTCCTAGTTTTGAATCCTTGTAAAAATAAGACCACAAGTAAGTGAGGAGCCTGAACTGAGAGCAAAATAGTTAACCAATGCTTTCTGATTCCAATGATTCTTCAACTGATATCAATTTATGATCTATCCGAACACATCCTAGTATTTTAGCGTTAAACCATTTAACTTAATACGGTAGTTGTAATTAGCTTTCTTGTAAACATTACATTATCCTAGTATTAAAAAAACGACTAACCATAACATGTCAAGTGTTATTTTAGAGAAACATGATCAAAGCTAGTTAATATTTCTTGTACTTATCCCCTCATAGGAATATATTTATTACTACTTGACTTGATTCGACGGAATGATAACCATTTCATAACTACGCGTAATGAACAATTTATTTATTCTGTAATAATCATAACTAATAATAATAATAGTATTATTCAATGGAAATTTAGTTCTCTTATATAAATTGGTATACATATACACATATAAAAACACACAAATACCCACGTAAAGAAAATTCCAAGTATTTTGTTACCCACTTACTTATTATAATCATTACCAATAAAATTTATGTATTCTACAAAAATTACACTGAACAGAATAGAATGTTTACAAAATTATATACCGCCATCTTACAAACCTTTATCTAATAGTTCCTACAAATTGATTTCGAAAAGAATCTCTTTGCGTTTTGTTGAATAAAGATTTTTTGTATTTGAAATATTTTATCATGTTAATTATAAAAATACATTTGTCATCATCGAGAAGAAAAAAAACTTTATTCTGATATTTAACTAATTATGGTTTTGAAATTACTAAATATGTTGAAGAATTTATCAGACAATAAAAATGTTTCTCTCTTTCTCTCGATTGATTATGTTTATGTTATGATGGCAGACGTTTTCACTAAATGTTGTTATTATTATTGATATAGGCATTTAACTATATATATATATATATATATATATATATATATATATATATATATATATATATATATATATATATATATATATATATATATATATATATATATATATATATATATATATATATATATATATATATTCATTGCAAGTGGATCCAGACGACCACGTGTACCCTTCAATGATAACATAGTCAATTTGAAATATGTATACATGACTACCCCGATAAGCAAGAATTTGGATAAAATAAGGAATGTTTTTAGATGTCCTAGTGAATGATGGGAGAAAATACTTGGCATATCATATTTCAGTCACCTTTAAAGCGCGAGTAATTTAGTGCAATTTACTTGACACGTACTATTTTGTGTGTGTTCGGCTTTTGAGATATGCTTCAATCATGTAATGGGCTACTGATACTCAAGTGTCTGCACTGAAGTGGAGCAGGATTCGAACTTAAGAACTGATAATTGGTAGTTAAGTGCCTTAATCACTAAACCTCTACTTTACGTAAAAGACAGTTTGATAAAAAAGTTTGTCGATCATCTATCTACGTATTTATGTTAATTATGATGAAATCAATTACAGGAAGTTTTGAAATGAATAGAGTACGAAAAATAATATTTGCCAACTTGGAATTATTGCTTTTGTAAAGGATTAAACTGACCACCTCTTTCATCCACAACATGAATCTATATAATGCAGTTGAGGAACATGTTTTCTTACGAAATATTTTGGGTTAAACAATCGAATCAATTATGCGTTAAGTTTAAATATCTTCATCGAATAATAAGTATCCAATCTTTTAGAGATGTAAATATTGAACAGGATAAACTACTAGATAAAATGTTAAGCTTCGAAAATGAAGATAATTGTAAGATATGTCAAGTACGTGTAACAAAACATTAAATTGATTGAAATACTTTGGTATGAAGCAGTGGGTTATTGTTGAAAGTATTCAGGTTTTAACTAATAGATAACTAGTTTAAATTTCATTTTGTTTACTTTAATTTAAACAGTCAAATAGCAGTATCACTGAACCTTACATAAAAAATACTGTTCGAAACTCAAAGAGTAAACTTGTACATCGTATACGAAACCATTTCTTGTGTGGACAAATGGATAAAACCAATTAACTCTATAAAACCAAAATAATCAATTCAATTCAACGAAACATTTGATTTTCAGTTATTTAATTACGCTGCTTTTTTATTTTCAAAAAAAGTATTCCAAAATATCTAACTAATTGGTTAACCTTAGCAAATATCCTAATACTAATCTCATATCGAAATTAATTTCTACAAAGTTACCTTAAATTTAATTATGAAATATTTCAGGGATTATAGTTGTTTATCTGAATTTCAAAATACTTATAACTATGATTTCGGGCTTTATTAAAGTTTAATCTGTCTCCATCCAAAAATTAAACCAAGGCAGGTCAAACTGACTTATTTAAAAATTACTTCTTGTCAAAATGATAAAACTTAAATATATGAAAATATGAAGCATTAGAAAAAAAAAGCAAATTATGTATGGTTGAGTTACAAGCAGACATTACGTTACAAATTATTACGAAATATTAATGGGCATATGAAACGATAACAGAATCGAAATAAGGGAAGTAATCCTACAGTTGTATTGTGCTTTAAGAGATGTAGTTATTTAAGAATAAGGACAAATATAATGTTAGACTTCTATCAATAAGGTGATACTTTACAATATGGAATACATAAACAACGTATGATTACAACAATTAAAAGACTAAAACCGATGTTGTAGGATTATGAAGTTGAATGGAACAAAGTAATACTAATCAGTTTAATGAGTATTACGTTGGTACAATCCTACTTGTAAACACTATTCACAAGTTTGGCATTAAATTATATCATGTGGTACAGTATAAAATACAAATAGTCACATTTTACACGTAATTTATTTTAATTTCAACGTTCATTCAAATCAAGTTGCATGATGTTCTATTATTGATGCAACAATAATCATTTAACTATTTATAGGTATCAATGCCAAGGTTGGACTTGATAGTTTCAAATAAACTGAGCATTGAATAAAAAGTTAATATTAAGTTTATTTTTTTATATAGCAATAAGTAGAAAAAAGTGGCTTACATTGGGTCACAAAACGTCAAAAAATACAATTTTTCTACTCATTGGGATATAACAAAAAATATATTTATTATTCACTTAACTATTTATTTTCTTGTTCAATATGCAGACCTTCATGAAATTATGGTAACCGAAGTAGGGAGACTTATTTCACATTATAAATACCATTGAAGTAGTCAATTCAAAAAATAAACTTACTTAAAGTTTCTGGATTTACCCATGTAGCAGTTGAATTCACTTTCAATGGACAACCTTCAAATATCTGCATAAAACAAGCACCCATCTGTAGATGAGAAAAAAAAGTAATAACAGAAAAACTGGTTAGAAATTCAGATTTCCTAAAGTAAACAATAAATAGAACTGAAGTGTTTATATATCCTCTTGTATTTGCTAATATACAATAATGGTATTGTTTTTATTTCATTAATTTATATCCTCATGAACCGTACCTTCGATGCTAAATCTTTCCTATTACCACTGATATTGTCACTACTTTTACTCCTCTAAGATTTGGCATAATAACTTCATCTCTGTGCTAATGGGGTGTGGCAACTTGAACCGATACACATACGTACCCGGTTCTACGTTGAGACTGACTGATTAATCATTTATAAATTATTATTATTCAATTTGACTTTTACTTTAAAACAGTTGGAATTCAGCAAACGTTCCTTTATCACCATCATTACCAACAGTGCAATTGACTAATAAAATGATTGAAGTACTAATTCAAAAAACTAATATAATACCTAAGTTCTAGTTGAATAAATTTTCAGGGATAGAACCACTGACTGAATATTTGTTTGTAAATCAATAATATCATTCAGTGTATCAAGTATGACATTATCAACTTGATTTGTGTAAATTATAAAATCATCCAAATAAACTTGAATGTAGAATATAATCAGTTTTATAAATGTTCAGTTAATTATAATTCTTTTAATTTATTCATCATATCATTTTGTTATTAACCTTTTATCATTGTTTTGTTTACAAATATCACTTTGCCCAGTAATTCGAAAAAACAGAAACTATGCATTATACTTTTTTGTTAATTTTTTAATATGAATTTGATATTTCTCTATATAAGTGATGATTCTTCAATGAATATTAGCTTGTAATGAAGTCGATTTTGAGTAATATTTTTTAGTAGTTGAATTCATGAGTCGATTAAAGCTAGATCATCTTTAATTGGCTCATGAATCCAACTATTAAATTACTAAAATTTCCACAAAATCCATTTCTGATATATTTTTGGTTAAAAAAACAAAACAAAGAGCTATATGTAGTCATAATAAATAATAATAATTTACATGAACTTTTGGAGTAGGAGGAAGACCAATACCCATTTCTAATTGATGTTGACGTGAAATATGCTTTGATGAGTCGTCATTTTGTTTACTATTTCGAAGAGGTGTTGGCAAAGAAGTTACACCAGTATGATTATTATTTAATTTAGGCGGTGGAGGTCTGGGTGGAGCTGGTGTTAATGTTTTATCACTATCATTTATAGAAGAGGATAATTGACCATTATGATTTATACTAACAGAACTATTGTATTTTCCAGTCTCATTACCATTATCATCATTATCATTTTCATTATTGCTCATAGAATCCTCTCGAATTATTTTAATATTATAATTTAATGTTATATCATTTGATGTCTCTTCAACATGATTTTCATGTGATGGAGCAGAGATACCATTGATGTATAACTTGTCAGTTTTTGAAATATTACTGCCAATATCCAAAGTAGACAAATTTATTATTTGATCTAATGATGAACACATATTATTATTAGTAGTAGTAGTAGAAGTAGTGTTATTCGTTGTAATAACGTTCAATGCTGTAGATGATGGCTGTAATGGTGGTGGTGGAGGAGCGCGTCGTTTCGAACGTGAGCGTGGCGCTAGAGGAATGTTCGGTTGTATTATTGAAGTATCATTTTGTGATTCATTCTTTGTAAAAAGAAAACAAGACAAAAATATTAAGCGGTAAATAAACACAAAAATGCTGCAATACTTTTCTACTTTGATGATTATTTAATGTTCATGAACCCTTTATAATACTAATTTAAAAAAGGGTTCATCAATAAGCTATGTGACTTTATCTCAATGTTTTTACATGATGCTTGAATAGGCGTGGATTATTTAAACCGTTTCATTTCATATTTTAATGAGATGAGCATTTGTTAAGGAAAAAAGCATGGCTCCTGTTACGGAATAGGTTTTCAATGATTTTATGAATGAATTTTCAATAGTGAAATAACAGAGAATAGCGCTGATCGATAAATGAAATGCAATTATACGATGTAGTAGAGGAATCGCTGTCCACGAGATCGAATTGTTGACTTGAGTCATCGAATGATTTGAAATTAAAGGCAAGACCATTAGTCAGAAGAATAGTTTTACCATCTGCTGAAACGATATGTTTGTATACAAAATACCAACACAAAAAGACATAAATTATCATACGCCTTTGGAGGAAATCAGTTTGTAGGTCGCTCATTAATCGATTAAGACCGTCGGAACTAATTCTTGGGCATCATATCAGTTACATGATAAACATTGAAAGACAAGATAACTGACAATTTTGATGTAAATTGCAAAGTTCCGCGCAACTCATTTTACATTAGGTTGATTTATTATCTAGTTAATTTTTGTTCTTTCACAAATAGTACATAAATTTAACCGATGTATTAATGACGAAGAGGATTTAATTATTTAACATTTATTATTATAACAGAATTTGGTGTAACTAAATAACCAAATAAAGGATTATGTATTTAGCTTCAGGTCATATCTTCCTTATGAAGCTCTGCAATACTAGTGCCTGTACGACCGTGCTTGAGCCTGGAACCTACCTGGTTATCAAACCGAATTAGGTAAAGCAAGATTCGGGAGAGTGATGTGTCGTATATTGACAATAATAATGATAAAGGCAATAATAGTAGTGTTAGTGATAATAGTAATAATAATAGTGAAAAGTTTGTATATTATAAACTAAAATAAGTAACAGAAACTCACATTCAATTGGATCTTATTATCTATCCGACTAACATCGAAACTGAAAATTAGATTGTCGCAAAAAAACGAAGTAATCAAAATTTTAGAAAACAGTTCCTTATTTTCTAAAAAATTAACGAATGTAACAAATACTTTTTTTATTGACGGCTATCGTAAATAAAACATTTGATCAGTTTATATGCTACATTTAAATGGACTTAAGAAAGAGAGAGGAATATGATTTTCATTATCTCAAAAATAACTTAAAACCAGGGAACACTCAAAGGCTGTTTTGTTTCAGTTTGACACTTCACAACTGAGTGTGGAATAGAACCCAGAATACTCAGATATTGAGAAGAGCATGATATTCTCCAGGTTAACGAGTAGAAACCAAATAATATTAACTTTAGTAAATAAGAGATATAAGGTGATCTTTATCAGATATCATTAGACTATATCAAGAAGTATTGATATACTGAATAACTATTATGTTGAATAGTTCTTAAGACAAAAAAATCTGTTTACGTTTCGTACATTTTCACAGTTGACTTACCCATCAATGGATTGAGAAGCACGAAAATCAACACCACTACGACGTTTTTCAAATGCATCCATTACCTCACTAAGCAAATCCTACACATCGAAAAAGAAATGAAAACAAGTAAAAATTTCAAATATAAAATAACAAAAATCAAGATCTATATTAAACATTACATAATGTACTTAATTATCAAATATTTTATCTACTTTTTATTACCCGAATATAGATTGAAGTGTTATACACTATGGAAATCAAATAGTATATATTTTTTTCTACTAAAAAGCAAGTGAATTTGTAAAAATTAAAAAAAGCCATACACAATGACGACAAAAAATAACCAACTATCTTAGATTGTTATTTTTCTCAACATAAAAAGAATTAGACGCAAATGAAAATATTAGGAATAGTAGGAGAATTATATATGTCTGATTAATGTGTTTTCATTACTTGGCTACTTCGTGTTTAATGACATACATACATTGATGGATGGTTAATGTAATGATTAGATGATGACAGTGAATGAACTAAAACTGTTTTGTAAAATCACCAAAAATTTAGAGTACACTAAGAAGTAGTGAACAAATGTGGAGTATTCGGCATCTGAATACGAATGTGACTGAACGATAGATCATGAGTCGATGTAATAAGCTATGGGTAATATATGTTTAATGAAGGTTACTGACAGTACCCAGATTTAAAATACAATGAGAGTGGATCGTAATTTAAATCCTTTGTCTACTGATGAAAAGTTGTGCACATGAAACCCTGAAGCTTAATTTAAATTGTAAAAACAACAATCTGGAAATCATGTATGTAGAACACTAGGGAAACGAACCGATTCATATTTTCATAAGCAAAATCGAAATTTGTTTAACATGAATTTATAACTATTATTTTATGACAAATGAACATGGCAAATTAAAAACTTTAAAAAAAGTTCTTTTGATGCACAACTGAAAAAATAGCATAGCTCCTGTCAAACATGCATAAGCCTAGAATTCACGAGTTTATAAATCTTGATATAGTGTAGAAAATGGAAGTAATGAATCCATACTTCTAAAATTAACAGAATGTAAAACAAAATAGGCACTTGCCTCTGAACTGATATGTAATAAACGATCAGCAAATAAATGATTTTCTGTTAAACAATCAGTTTCTTCAGATATTTCACCGACACTGTTTATATTTGATACACGTGACGGATTAAGTCGTACTATGGGCGGACAAGGACGGCTAGGTTTTTGCTTATCATTGTTATTAGTGCTAATAGTTATAGCTGATGATTTATCGCTATTACTATTAATATTACTGTTATTATCAGTAGAACCAATAGAGATAAGAGTAGCCATATTATTATTTTGATTGAATGAATTTGTTGAATCTACAGAATGATTACTATCATTATTAAGCACTGAAGAGTGTCTAGAGGATTTCGCTGGTAATAAAGGTCGAATCACAGCCTGTTGTTGTGCATTATTATGCTGAGATGATGAGTCAGATTGTGAATGTTTTACAACTCCATTAACTGTAACTGTTATATCTGGTGCATAATTTTTTTTAGTCAAATTATCATTATTATTTATAGTGATTTCTCTTCCTTGTGAAATGTAGTTCACATCTGTAGATTCTGCAATCTCATTACAATTCTTTGTATGATCCTAGTGTTAAAATGAAAAAATTAAAGGTAAAAAATAAATAAAAATGTAAGATAAAATATTTACCAAGAGGTGAATTATGAAGAAAGTTATGATGATTAACGTAATTGGAAACGACAGTTTTCACATGGAGCTGATCTCGAAAATTGTAATTGTATGTAGATTTTATATAAGTGAATCAATGGCTCAACTAAATGGATATATACCATTGAATGACTTAAAATAATCATTCATATATAATGTTATTTAGAATATTATGACTGAATTACAAAGATAAGATATAATCAGCAATCTTATATATTTCTCAGGTATCTGAAAGTTAGATGGACAACGAAAAAAAAGAAAAAAAAAGCGAATCTTGTGCCTTATCTGCTTTTTTGTATTGTTATGACATGTGGAAAAGTGTGAGTGCACGTAGGGGTCTTTTTCCTCACATTTGCCTACCTTTATAAAACGAGCATAAAACCATGAATTCTGATAAGTGAAAATATTCGGCTATTCGTACTATTATTACAATCATTCAGTCATAATCAATGCAGCGCATATGATAATCGACATAAATTAACATTATAAACCAATATAACCTACTAAATAAGTACATGTTTGCGTGCTCGGCTTTGAGGTGTACTGTTTATATGGAGGCTAATGATACCAGTCTTAGTTACTCGATAGAAATAGATGGGAACGATTTCAAAACTGGTGATCTCCTGAGTACAAGACAAGCACTAAAACCTCTCTCCATATTTACACAATCTTATATAGATTTTAATTCAAATCATCAATTATAGTGGTTTATACTGCTAAAAAGATATGTAGTAATTAGTAAGTACAAATCTACTGTACCATATATCTAGCTATACTTCTGATTTTATATAATTGTTTTTTAGACATTTGTAAATTACAATTACCAATAGTCTATCATAAATAACAGCCCGGATTAGTATGATAGAGTGACAATATACAAACAGTGGATTCAGTCGAAAATCACCTGGAAATATTAAACCAATGAGAAAAAAAAATACCGACATATACATGTTGAAGTAGAAAAATAAAATGGTATTGTTATAGATGCTACAAGTTGTAGGATAAAAATGTCTATTATTTGTTATTATTGTTGTTTTTACAATAAATTTATATAAGAAAAAATCACATGGATCATCTATATGATAAATAAAATTTAAACTGATAGACGTTAATATTTAATGCAATGAATTATACAATTTAGAATGTTAATTAATGAGATTTATCATACAGTAACATAAATTCTTTTGATAGCATAGTTCTGAAGTTGTTTAAAATGAAGTTAAACAGAAATGTAAGACGTAATAATCTTTTGTTTCTTACAGAAAAAAAATACCGAAACGGATCACCAAGTTTAAAAATTCATTAAATTATTTTGCTACATAAGCAATGTAATAATTATGAGCTTAACTAATGATCATCCATACATGAAACCTTTCAATACAGAGATTAAAATTAAAGTTATAACCGTTTTTCAAGATAACTTTATTAATAAGATTAATGAAAGAGCACAAAACAATAAGAAACAAACCTTAGAGATGATGCAAAACTTACACTATTATAGCTAAGCTGAAATCGATAGGTAAGTGATAGAAAAATGAAAAAACAGTTAGTTATCAGATGACAAATTATTTTGAACATACATTATTTCAACTGGCCACAATTCACAGAATGAACAATAAAAGAATCGAAGTGATAATGCCAATAGTAGTGACGAAAACGATACACTTAGAGAATTTAGTCAGAAAGGAATGAATGAAGTTGAAAACAATGCACAGAACATGGTCAAAGAAAAACTCAAAATATGGAAGGGATATAAAGAACAAATCCAATTATGCCATTGAGACTGATATGAAATTCTGTCACCAAATGTATTATATACAGTCACAGATCCCAATAATCAACAAAGAAGGTATCAATACGCGAATTCCATACACGTAGTATAACGTAACCTCGTTTGCAAAACTCTAAATGAAGGCTTTTCTAAAAGAAATCACTTTACTATCTCTCTGCTTTAACATTGTTCAGTGAATTTCAGTTATGGCAAAATGTAGAGCTATGTGAATCTATACAGAAAGTAAACTCAAAATATCAAAATCCAACATGCTCAAAGGTTAATTAGTGCTTATGCATAACAACCCAATCAAGAAACGGCAATTTGCAGAATTATATTTTCGTAAAAATTTTCTACAAACTGGCATTTAACGATAATGAAAAACTATAACATATTTATGTACTCAGAACTCAGTACTAGTTATTTATTCGATACATAGGTGGATTATGCATGATTTCATACCTTTAATGACAATAACTTCACATTTGTTTCATAGATAAGACAGTGACAGTATATAACCAGAAGTAGATTTAATAAGTTAATTAACATTGGAATAAATACAAACTTGAGTTGAAAATTCGGGGTTTTATTAACAGTACCCAAACTGCACAGATCAAATTGTGAAAAATAGTAAAATATTCTTTTATTACTTTTAATTCAAATAAATTGCGAAATCCCGTAATATACGAGGAAGATTAATACCGCAGTCAGAGCTGTTTTTTTATTGACGACAAACTCAATTATTTTTTACTCATTAAAGCTTTCGATATTACGTTGATTTTCAAAAATAAATTGCAAATATGAGAACTTTCACAACAGCATCAAAAATGTAAGTTGTACACTAGGATTGCTCAGTCAGTCTACATGACATCAAACATGAATAATCTAGTGTCTTTTTTGTGAAATACTTCATCATGGGATTTTATCAACAGTATTTCAGTTAGTCATTTGTTACTGCTACTAAGATCACAAGAAAATGACTCATAACTATACGAGCAATGGTGATAATTTAAAACACACAGAAAGACAGATGTTGAACTTACATCGGCTAAATCAGAGCAAGATAAACTGCTTTGGATTTGTACACTTGGGAATCGTTCCGGTTCTCGTTCAATAATGAGTTGTTGTGATGGGGCAAAATGAACAGGAACACTAGCATCAATTCCGTGACTAACTGGGAGATCGTTGACTCGAAGAGATTTGAAATATTCTTCCTGTCGAACTGAAATAGGCATACCAGGAAAGGATACTGGTGGTTCATGATTATCAGGAGGAATAAAATTACCCCCGGATGGAGGATTCTTTTTATTTGATGAAGATATTCCTGTGTCTCCATGGGAATAAGTATTTTTGACTGAGGATTCTAATTGTCTCCGATAGCACAGCAGACGTTGAGTTAATAAAGTAGACAAATGTGGATTTGTAACAAAGTTATGCTACAAATAAATCAGAAAAATTACCATTCATGTTAATGAATTGAGAAATCTTGATAGATTTTAAAATGATTATAATCAAACGTCAATATCAATTAAATAGATATTTAAAACGATTAATACCAGAAAAATGTTTTACTCCAATGTTCCAGACTCTTACACGTATTCATATTTGTCAATTATGTAAAAGATAAACGCGTAACTATCAAGATTCATTACAAACCCGGCAGTCCATGAACCATTAAATCTAAAAACTAAAGTGGCCAACTTGATAGTTACTTAATCGATCACCAACTTATCACTAGTTTAAATGATGGAACCACAACCCTAGTGACTGAGTCTATGAATACATATAAGGAAATTATCGATAACATATAAGTGGAAATCATTCAGCCAAAATAGCAAAACAACGATTTAACTTGTCGGTCAATAACTGAATTATCAAGAATGGAAATAAAGATAAAATAGTCACTTCTGCAACAATGAATGCATAACCAATCAATGAAATAATACTTAAAGTATACGTAACCTACTGTAAGCATTGTAGCTGCATCAGGTCTTCGTCGTTCTGCTTTGATTAAACAACACTTAATAAACGAATGAAATAATGGCGACCTAAAATATATAGAAATAATAATAATCAATGGTAGACGCGTAGATGATAACATATGAATGATAATTTGTCTCTGAACTTTTTGAAATTAAAATGACAGGAAAGGAAAAAAGTAGTGATGAATAAGAGTCGTATGCCTCAACCCAGAAAGTAAGCAGAACAGGAAAGAATTTGAAATTTGAAATCCATTAAAAAGCAAATAGTCTATTTCCTTATCAACATTAGCTTGGAAATTACCTTGATAATTAACGTGCATATGTGGCTTAACAGTCATAATTGAAAGTCAAAGGAATCCTATGAAAAACTGATTGTTTATGTATAATAAATAATGATTTGGTGTTAAGTAATATCCTTAAAAATGTTTGCTAACAAATTCGCACTATGAGTACTCGAGTCAGATTTACGAAGTAGTGTTCTGTATTCAGAAATTGTCTCTTAGGATGCATAGATTTGTCGGAAATTAGAGCACTAATTACAATTATTAATTCAAGAAAAAAAAACATAGGATACAGAACCATTATACATCAATCTGAATTACCATGATGCACGTCAGCACAAAGAGGGGAATGACAAGTGCGTTAAATATGAAATAAGATTAAAAGTTAAGTTTGTTCGCAACTCAGTCATCGCGTTACTACTAAAACTAGCATATGATCAAACAGTGTGCTGCTAGGTATTCGTATTTATTCTAAATAATGATCCATTTGTTGTGTGATTGTATGTAAATATTGATTTCCTGTCAATCAAGCTACTGGATCAGCTTCTTTCAAAATCGATCACAAGCATTGTGTTTCGAAGCTTGATCATATCACATATTATATTTCTGGATGAATTAAACAACAGATCATATGACTAAGAAAAAATCTCAATTTAATTTCGCAACAATTAAATATGGAATTTTACATTTCACTGTTTACATGAAGTAAAGCATTTAGTACCACTGACTTAAATAGCTGTTTTTAATGGTAGTATCAAGTTGACTTAGGTGACATTTTAGATATTTTAGATTGAGCTTAAATGCATTGCTGAACTGCATATGGAGGAAAATGAGTATTAAGAATTTACGGTGTTTTATGATAAGTATATCAGTCACTATCAATTCAATTTCAAGAGTCCTGTTGTTAATATAGTAATTAATAGTAGTTAGTATAGTTGAAAAACCTTATCAAAAAAGTTCTTTTAGTGAATTCATCTGTTTGATTACAGTAAAAGTGGTTTTCAGGATTAGTTAAATTGGAGATAATTTTCATTATAAGTAATAAAAACAAGGACCAATTGAAAGTCATGGAGTTTTAGTTTGGGACTTCTTAGTAGAAGTATGGACTCTTGAACCTTATCATGAATTGAAATTGAATCAATTAGCTCAAGTTGTGATTACCGTGTCATTTGATGACTCAGTTGAAATTCAATAGTTTACAGTTTTCCACTTTAGTTTGCTTTTTATGGTTTTATAGTTGATAATAGTTGGTGGTGAAAACTATCGTAAAATGTATATCTCAACAAGAATGAAGTGAGCCAGTTACAACTTTTGTATGAACTTTATGTCAACAATATCTTTTTGAAATTGGTGTTCGTCCTAGATCGATCAGTTATCATACCATCAATAAGCGAGGAGTACTAGAGAGCTTTTTCTCAGTATAAGATTGAAGAATTATAATGTATGCCCTCCCGAGGTAGTATTAAAAATTTAGTTTGCCAAACTATTGTGGAGTAATGGTGTAGTGTTTAGGGCTCTTAACTCTCAGGCATTAAGTTTCAGGTTCGAACCCCGTTTCACCTACTTCGAGTAGTTTCGATAACCTTGCAGACACTCAAAATATTCAACTGTTTTACAAAAATTAACCCAACCATTAATTATAGAAACGAAAATACAGGAATTTAGAAAATATATTGTTCCTCCTCACTCAGTCTTCTCACGCAAATAGACGACTGAACTCGTGAATAGGGAGCATGTTCATCAGTATTAGAACCAGACATCGCGCAACACAACAGTGGCACACTTTGACCTCATGTTTCTTATTTTTACTGTAAACTTATGCAAAATCTGATATTCAAGATAAACTTTTTTACGTTGTAATGTTATATTAAACACATGTTGTTACACATCCCATAAACATTCCTAAAAAATATTTTTAACTATTTCAGGTATGATTTCTACAACATAAAAATATGTCATTTAAGGTTTACGACAACCGTAGTATAGGACGATAATGATATATATAGCAAGGAGGACCTGATGCAGACGTGAAGGCTAGGATTGGCAAAGGGCAGGACTTCTACAGTTGGAGAACACATAGAACTAAAAACAACTGTCAACCAATTTCAAAGTCAGATTCTTCAATACGAATGTCAAGACGGTTTTACTGTACAGAGCTGAAACTTGGTGAACTACCACAATCATCATCAAAAAGTTACAAGTATTTGTAAAAAATTGTCTGCGAAAAATACTCGATGTCCGTTGACCGGCTATCATCAGCAACAGCCTATTGTGGGAGAGAACGGACCAGCTTCTAGTTGAAGAAATTAGGAAGAGACACAACGTGGATAAGAAATATATTGTGGAAATTATCAAACTGAATCACGAGACAAGCGCTAACTTGGAATGCTGGAGGGGAACGGGAAACAGGAAGGTCACAGAACAAACTGCGTTGAAAACTGGAAGTAGACATTAAAAGAATGAATAGCAACTGGAAAGGTTTACCCAAGATAGAGTTGGATGGAGAATCCTGGCAGGAAGTCTATGCTCTTCCACGAGGGTAACAGGCAATATATATATAGACTAGACCGAACAATTGATAAATAGCAATGAACATTGTAGAAATGTTGCAACAACGAATATAACAGCAACTCATCAAAAAAAGAAAACGAACCATTTATGACGGTCTTGTAAAGAAGGGGGCTTGTAGTTTCGCGAACCCAGAATTTGTAGTGCTCTAGGGAAAGAATGATAAAAAAGAATAGTGTCATTTAGCTGGCAACAGTACAAATAGTTACATTTCAAACAATTCACTTTTAATAGGGGCCAAAAACATACTTACTTCCTAGGGTCTAGATCAAACATTGGAGGTTGCAGTTCAGCATATTCAATAGCAGTAATCCCAACACCCCAAATATCACACTTTCCATCATAACCCGAGCCACGAGATTCAATTGAAGCTACCTCAGGCGCCATCCTAAAAAATTATCGAAGAAGGATTTAGCAGTCAACGGAAACAATGTTAGTGATTAAATACTATAGAAGTAGGTTAAAAATTATGTTTTCGACCCAATCAAACATCAGCATGAGCATGAACTTATTAATACATCTGGGTAATTGATTTCTCTTGGTTTAGGCTTTCTTCATATACATTTGTTACAAAAGAGTTGTTAAAGTCTATGTAATGTTTGCTTGGTAAGATAAGTTTATAGTTGGTAACATTATATTACTGACAAAATCTATTAAACGAAATAAACTACTATTACATCATTTTTGCTGATGACAACTATTCAAAGAAATGGTAGTGATAGGTGGATCTGGTGATTTTTGTAAGTTTAATTAAAATTGGCGTAACAATTCCTTCTAGTTACAATTAACTTGTGAAGAGTTAGTATAATTAGAAAACGGGTTGCTATTATTATGCTAATTCAGCCAGTCAGTGATAAACAACGTACAGCTTGGCGTAGATGTGTGTTGGCGTACCGTATCAGTTTGACGAGATAAAATTAACAATGTGTATGGCAAAAGACAGTGAGATAATGTAGTATCAATAAAAATGAGAGTTTAAGCATTGAGAATAGGGTTTCAAAAGATAGAGTGGAGAGGGTATATATGGAAGGACGATGGGATCCATGATATAGGGGAGAATAAACGGTTAATGTATTCGTGCTATTGTGAATGATTCTGAGCCATGTCATCAAACGTTTCCAGCTTCTGGTCGCCATTAATGCACAGACCAACATGGTTCAGACTAAGTCAATCATTTAATGGAGTGATGCAGTGTCTTGGTATGGCCACCTCTAGCTTTTGTTTGACCTACTTCTATACCAGCAAAAACCAACCACCAAGGCAAGAGGTGACTATGAGTAAGCAACGTGTCCTAACTACGTTAATCGACGAATATTCATAGCCTCGTCAACTTATTTTTTACCTTTGCCTAGTACCCTATTGCTATATCTGGACGAAGAATAAGTGAACGGTAACTGTTAGGACCTATTTAGGGAGTTATTATACATATTCTTGTTGTATAACTATTAAGTAACTATATTATATATATATATTCATATTCCTCTTACTATAAGCTACCATTTGACTTATTGACTACTATTATGCGATTTGCTATTCTAAATATAATTCCAATTTATTAGTTACGGTCTCTTACAATCACAGCCACTTTTAGCCTGATCTTGTATAAATGTTATTTTTTTATTTTGTGGTATAATATGGTCTGGTTTATTTTGTATGTAAACATAAACCAAGTATGTCTGAAATACATGATTTATATAATGGAGGCTAGTATTTGTGTTCTGGACTGGACCGGCTGTGTTAGACGAGAAGCTACTACCTCAGAGAACCAATAGGAACTCAGAGTTGACTCTAGGCTGCTCGTACTGTTTTATGCATCATTGATTTGGTCAGTAATTCGGTGTTCTAATTGGTGACCCTATCACGTGATAATTAATAGAATATAAGGATATAACACCTATCTCTAACATCGCTCAGCAATCCCACAAAGCGCGAGCAAAGGTTGTGAAGATGAAAGCCTGCAGCGTATGCATCTCCTTTACTTTCACAGATCATGTTTCATATCCATAAAGCAACGTAAAGTGGGTAGCTGCACAGTGTACAGCTCCTTCAGTCGGCAGACGAATATCACGTCTACGCAAGCAACGCGAGTTGGCAAAAGCAGACCAAGCCCTTGTCAGACACCAACCCACCAGAGTTGATGAGACTTCCAAAATAAGTGAAGTGACCGTTACGCCCAACTACATCTCTCTAGCATTAGCTCAGGCGTTAACACAGACCAGTCCTGAAGCAAAATTTTAAATTTATGGGGACAGAAGTGCATCCTAAATATGTTTTCATTGTTGTTCAAGGTGACCAAAAATTGTACTTTTTCAGCGTTTTCACCTAATAGTACTATGCTATGTGTATTCCAAAACGATAGGTAAACCTACTAATAGAAAACCAACCCCTGAAGAGTTAGGTGAGCGTTATTCATAGGAAAACATCTATGATAAAATAAGGCAAAATGGAGAAAGTGGACAAACCTGACAACCACCATATGACAGTTTGCCGAAGGCCCTGACTCGACAAGTAGTGTCTGAGTACAGGGATTTCACAAGGGTAATGTACATCTTTGGTAAGTTTCTCAATGATGAACACTGTCACAGAACCTTTCGTCCAGCAGAATCAATTATACTTATTCACAACCAAATAACGACAATAAACGCCGAAACACGATTGCTAAGGAAATATTTTTTCTGAATTTACAAGATTATAGGGCGGCGGCTTAATGATTGAAGCGGTCAGCTTCAGCTTGGAACCAGTAAATCAAGTATGAACCTTGTCTGATACATTTCAGTTTGGACACCTGGGTAGTATTAGTGGACTGCAAATAAATAATGTCAGCCAGATACAACGTGGGGTCAGGCACATATATGCATCGGTCCAAGTTGCCAATACCTCACTAGCACAACAAGATGAACACCAAATTCATAGAAATAGTTACCTCAATGATAGTAATATATAAAAGAAAGATTGTATATAACGATATAATACAGAGAGAAAGAATTAGAAAAAAAGGTATAAAGTAATTTTAATCTCACGGTTTAAGAAAAGACAAAGAGCCATGTTACCCAGAGTCTCTAACCATTGGTTACGATAGTCACGTGGACCTCAACCAAGTAGTCTGCATTTACCAACATGGCTTAGACCAAAAGTCAGTGACTTTATGGACTGATGTCATGTTTTGGTTTCACCGCCCCTATCATTCTTCCAACCATCCCCAACACTAGTCAGAATTGCGCGTCGTGGTAATCAATGTTCAGACATTCGTAACACGTGGTCTAACCATCTCAAGCAGTGAAGATTTACAACCTCACCAACTGATTTACCATCATTCCCTAATACCTTGCGTCTAACCTTACCATTACTTACCCGATGATGCCAGCAGATGTGGGCGATGTTTCTAAGATATCTGTGATCAAATACTAGTAACTTAAGAGTATCTTCTACTCTTAATGGCCACGTTTAGCAGCCGTAAAGTAGAACAGAACGAACTGCTGCACAGTATACTCGTCCCATAATTGATGAGGATATTTTGCCTTCGCCGTAGGTGAAGTAAGTTGGCAAAAGCCAAACAAACTTTCTAAACCCGTACAGAGATTTCGTCAGACAACAACCCATTAGGGCTGATCAGACTTCCAAGATAAGTGAAGCTGTCGACGCGTTTGACTACTTCACTCCCTATCCTTAGTTCAGGTGTTGACGTAGCCCAGTTCTGGAGCAACAAATTGCATTCAGAGGGGGAGAAACAATGTAACTCAAAGTAGTTAAAGACAGAATGTGTTATCCTTCAATCAGTCAGTCAGTAGTAAATGACGTAAAACCTGATACATATGAGCATTTGTGAAAATCGCCACAGCATATCTGCACAACAAGATCAATTTTTCAAGATAAATGCTAGAGTAGTAAAAGTAGTAGTAACAGTACTTTTAGACATAGAACATACGGTTCAGGAATGAAAAGTATGAGTTTTAGAATTAAGGTGAAGAAAAGAGTGGATATATCTTTCTCACTACGACCGATTCTGAGCCATGAGTCCTTCAATCAACAAAATTCATTGTTAATTGACATGAAAATACTAGACAATTTTCTTGTGTGATTTATTTTTAGAAAATATATGTACTTTGTAGACAAATTTGTAAAAAAAATCAAGAATTATTACTCGAAAAAGTAAGGAAATCAATGAAAACCCACCAGTAGGGTGTTCCAATTAAAGTTGTTCGTTTGGCAATTGAAGTATTCAGTTGGGCGGCAACACCAAAATCCGCTAATTTATAAGATTGAAATAATCAGGTAAAAATTACTGATTACAAACAAACATACCCACTTTCACATGACCGTCATCTGTCAGAAGAATATTAGCACCCTAAACATAAATCTCAGTCAAAGAAGTGAGAAAATACACTAACTTTAATATCTCTATGAATACGTCCACGATTGTGCATAAAATTCAAACCTTGTAAAGTTTCTCTGGAGACAAATGCAATGCAGTCTTCTTCTAAGGGACGCCTGGTATCTACACGAAAAATAACAATCCACAGTTTATGATAAGTTATTTTTTTCATACAGAGATAAATATCTTGCATAGATTGTCCACCGCAATATTCCATGCATATCCATAATTTGTTATTCCTGAATAAAATCAATTTTCATATAGATTACGTGTAGATAAGTTACCTAAGATAACTACCGTAAAACTGCACAATATTTGGATGCCGACATTCTCTCAAGGTGTGTATTTCTTGGCAAATTGATCGAATGTCATCCTTTAGATCAATCTTCATAACTTTAACCGCCACCAATGTCCGCCTCTCACGATGAACCGCCTGGACAAAAAAAACGATTACTTAAACATATAGGGAAATAACACACAGGAAAATCGTGTCAAGAAAACTTTTTACTAGACTAAAATGGAATAAATTAGTAACTGATATGGTTAGTGGGAAAACAATTTTACGTAGTAATTGTCAAAACCCTAGATCGTCAATCGGAAATTTCAGCAGACCTGACTGGATATACATCATTAGCAATGAGTCACAAGTATTGTAAGGAAACAAGATGTTTTCAGCCGACAGCTCCACAGATAAGCTTTTACAAAGCAAGGACTAGAATTACTGTGGTATAAAGTGAGATTACTTCACCTTGAGTCATGAAGATTTCCAATATATGCATTAGTATTCTAAATAAAATATTTTGAAGGCGTAGTGCCGTAAAAATGCACAAATGTCTCACTTAGATGGTGTGAGAAATGAAAAAAATGACAGAATAGTAAAAAGGTTCAAAGTAAGTGCAACAATAAGAGGAGTTGAAACGTTTTCTAAATCCCTCACAATTTTTTTTGTTCTTATCTTGCTAATTTATATTTTCTTTTCCAGTTGTCTCTTTCGTGCCTAGTTTTCCTATTACCACTGATAGTGTTACTACCTCAAATATTCTGAGATTTGGCCTGATAAAATCTCTTTATGCTAATGGGGTGTGGTAACTTGAATCGATGTGTATACGTACAGGTTTTACGCTGTGACTGACTGGGTGAGCAAGCAAATCACGTTGAGAATATGGTTGTAGAAGACGGAGTGAAACGGTAAGTATGAAGGAATACTGAAACTCAAGACCTAAGGTGAATACATCTAGGCCACCGTAAGTGGTTCTGAATCACATCACGAGGTAATTGTTTACCGGCAGTAGGTGTAACTTAATCATTAAAGTGGGTGAATTGATAGGATTGACTACTAATCACAAAGGCAATGATGAAAAAGTATATGATAGCGATAGTGATCGAGATCATAATTTAAAACTAAGTTAAATCTAACTTATTCAGCCAACATAGTTGGTGAAAATTAGTAGCAATCATTTTTAGTGGTCAATTTTCTGTGCAAGTTAAAATATTAACCACACCTTGATATATTACCTAGTTTAAGCCCATAACTGGAAAACAGTAGACAAATGCAGAAATCGCTAATAATAAAAAAAGTAAAAAAAGAAGGAACTATTACATTCCACTTGAAACGTACAGTCTACATTCAACGACGTAATTCGTAGACAGAAGAGTGTTCCAACATCATGGAATGAGTCGATAGTTATCCCTATGTTTAAAAAAAACTCACGCCGTTTCTGTAACAACTATGGGGGGACCAGTCTACTTCCAATTGTGTCCAAGCTGTTGGCTTCTGTCATACTTCGTAGGTTGTTCAAAACCGGAGAAAGATTGACTCAAGAGGAGCAGGCTGGGTTTCGTTCTGGTCAAGGATGTATTGATCATATCTTCGACCTCCTCCAAATGTTAGAACACCGTCATACTTATCAAAGGCCAACAATCGTAGTGTTTCTTGACATCAGGGCTGCCTTCGACTCGTTGGACAGGACTGTTCTCTGGGATTGTCTATTGAAGAAGGGTGTGCCTGAGAAGTTTATTAACATCTTAAAAGCCCTATATACAAACACCTCAGGCAGAGTGAGGGCATACAACCATCTCTCTCCATTGTTCCATTCGAGCAGTGGAGTTAGACAAGGTTGCCCAATCTCACCATTCCTCTTCAACTTTGCCATCGATGACATTCTGGAAACAGCTCTGATGGATGTAAGTAATGGTGGTGTGGTTCTGTTGCCTGGAGAAAGACTTCTCGACCTGGAGTATGCGGACGATATTGTCTTACTGTGCGATAATGCTCAAGCCATGCAATCCGCACTTAATCAGTTCGCAATCAGTATCCATAGGTATGGTATGTGCTTTGCACCCTCGAAGTGCAAAGTACTTCTACAAGACTGGCAGGATTCTAATCCTGTACTCACTCTGGATGGTGAGCATATAGAAGTAGTCGAGAAGTTCGTGTATCTTGGTAGCTGCATAAGTGCTGGTGGTGGCGTGAGTGATGCGATCAATGCATGTATAGTGATAGCCAGAGCGGCTTATGTCAATCTGGACCACCTTTGAGGCCTTCGTGATGTTAGTCTGGCTGTAAAAGTTCGGATCTACAACGCGTCGGTGAGAGCAGTTTCGCCCTATGCTTGTGAAACCCGGCCTTTCCGAGTTGAGGACGTTAGACGACTCTCTGAGTTCGATCATCGTTGTCTCCGAAGGATTGCTGACATCCAGTGGCAACACCATGTTAGTAATGCAGAGGTCCGACATCGTGTTCGGGCACAGAGATGATAACGCAATCGATGTCACCATCTTGAAACACCGACTTCGGTGGCTTGGATATATTCTACGAATGTCGTCCCAGAGAATTCCACGTCGTGCATTATTTGCCGACTCTGGGACTGTTTGGAGAAAGCGGGGAGGTGGTCAGTGCATGACATGGTGTCGTGGGATGAAAGAAAGCTGCAAAGGGGTGGCTTGTGTTGGTCTTTCTCGATTCCCTGGTTGGGGTCCGAGAGATAGCGCAGCACAGTGGCTAGAGACGTTATCAGATATGGCTCAGAATAGAAGCCAGTGGCGATCCTGCTGTGACCTTCTTTTGCTTTCTTCGTCAAAGGTGGTTGTAAATTCCTTAACTGGAAGAATTCATTCTGGTTGTACCTTACCTTTTCCTCCATTATAATTACACTACCATACATTATCTGTGGTCGTTGTTGTTTTCTTTTTAATTCTTTTTTCTCTCTTATACGCACATTACATACTTTTTCTCTCCCCATTCTCATTCTTAATATGTGGAGAATATATATCTGGTGCCCCCTTGTACCAATATTTGTGTTCAAATAAATAAATAATAGACAGAAGGATGGCATAGCAATGGGATCCCCTCTTGGTCCATTACTAGTAGAAGGCTGAACCATCCTTTCTCAATGATAATTTCCCTATCTATCTTTTGATGAATACTTGAGCCATTAATAATCGGACGATTATTGAGTTTTTCCTGTTTAAAAGTTTTCCTACTACCTTTGTTCATTTTACCTCACTGTCACTGTGTCTAATAGAAGTTTAGTATCAGTATTATTATAACTATTATCATCCTAAAAAATAAGTATATATATTTGGGATTGTACAGCTTTGAAAATGAATTCGCCGAAAAAAGAACTCTTCGCTGAATTAATCTTTCTTAATTAAAGAAGACTGTGACTGGGGTTTGTCACTCCTCAATAATGGAAGTACAAAAAGTTATTCCAGTAACCATTAAAATTTAACTTCGCTAAAAACGAAAGTAGGAAATATTCCCTAGGCAATGGTTAAATATATCCCGGGAGAAAAACTCATGTGGTTATGTCCAGTCAATTAGTTATGAAACCTCATTTTAATAGATGTAAAACTGAACAGATCTGGAAGCAATAAATTGTGATAGCAAGTTTAAATAATTCTAGTTACTCAAGACCGTGCTTAAGACAACTTAATCTTCTTAATAGAATATCTGAAACAGGCTCAGAGACTGACGTGGTTTGTGACTGTCATCCATGTTTGAGATATATTTGAGATATAACGCTGTAGAACTAAAAAGATTATTTTGTGTAAATGTGGTTCAGTAATGTTAGCAAAATAACTCTATGAACCTTCAAGGCAAAAACGCAATTCTGGTTATGCATCGAACGAAAATTCTGCAAGTTGAAAATAGAACTTTTGCATAGAGTTCGAAAACTGACGCCTCATAGACCAACTAAATGCTTTACAGTATACTGTCGATCATAATAGGCAAGCATATGGTCATTGCTAAAATTTGTTCCTTCTAAACTCACATCATCACATTATTTAAATTTATTAGCAAAAAAGCTGGCACTGAAGCGTAGCACCGACCTTACAGATTAGCTATCTGGATAAATTATGAGGATAAGATGCTCTTTACCTACTATTACACTAACCTTGAAGACATCTCCGTAGGTCCCACTACCGATCGGAGCGAGTATTTTATATTCCTCCTTTGGGTCATTGGGTTTCACAAATTGTCGAAGGTAATCTAGCTTAGGATGGTTCATGTATCGTTATATTCATTTCGTCTCCCGTTCAAATGGCGCGGGGAAATTTATCGAAAAAGACTAATTTTATTATCCATCATAAAATTATTTAACTTTAATTATTATACTTTTATTTCCCGAGCTTTTGTTTTAATTGTCCACCGTTACTTTATGGTTTAGTTCTGTTGGTTGGCTGACAGCTTGTTTGACTTGCTTCAGTGAACGGGAAATGGAATCTGCGTCTACGAAAAAGGTCTGCTACTATTATGACGGTAAGTGCATTCTGTAACTTGTATTTTGCTTCTTCGTTCAGTTTAAGTCATCCTCTTGCTCAACTGACCAAAATAGTTTTGTTTCCCCATACCTTCTCAAGACCTGGATTATGAAACTCTTAACAAGTTACCATCTCCAAAGTTCACTGTTCTCGGTGATTAGCTACTTTCCTTACCAACGGCGAACTTGCTTTGTATCAGTCTGCGTGGCTTACACTAATTTTTAAAGCATTTTAGCTTCAATATTTAGATAGACCATAAAAGGGGATTGCATTAAATAACTAGTTGTCAGGGGTGTACGTTCCTATATGGACTGTTGATAATGTATTTTATCATTCCTAAGTACCAAAAAAATGAAAAAATTACCACTAGGACGTTAATCCAAATTCGTCTTTTAGCTTATTGTGTGACCACAAGAATTTATGTTATTGGACTTATTTCTAGTGAAATCCAAGCACCCATTTCCCCCCACTCTAGAGTTTCTGTTTCACGTCTGGGTAGATGAACTTAAATTTTATTCTCTGCAATCTTACCTCAGGTAATAAATCCAAGACATTCTCTTCGAGTTCCTAGAAAAACAATTCGGTAATTACAGCATCTGTAATCCTTTACCCGGTGTTATTATGTAGTTGTCCCTAATTTTGTAGTTACTACTGAGTTACATTTTAACGTATTCCGGTATTTCTAGTGCCGTAACTCGGATCAGCTCAGGTTGAGAACCGCATTCAAATATGATTATAGGTCGAAGTTTCACTTAAGTATGCTGTCTTAGCGGATCGCTCATGCAATTCTATCACTTTGGAAGTGGTTTTACTTTGACTTAAGATGACATATTTGTTGATTGGATCATACTCAGCTTTTTACTTGTTAGATTTATCAGCATGCAGTTATCGCCGGACGTTTATTTTTGTCTGCATACCTAATCAAAAATTTGTCAAAAATATAGCGGTTAACCCATGTAATTTGTTGAGCTTTATACACTTTTCACATGGTATATTCATGTTTGATAATATTAGCTGCTAACAATAGGTGTGCTAGATTTAATTCAGGACAGCACAATCTAAACATGGAATGAGATAAGATTCCAGGTATGTTACTGAGGCTTGTTTTCCTTAAAAAAAAATAGGTTCAAATACATATCAGTGAGACTATAATTTATGGGCGACCTTTGAGCGACGCCCGACTGACCCTGAGAGTGTCCACCTGATAACCTGGACCAAATAAGGGTTACAAACCTGTGTGAGAAAATAGAATTTAGGGTTTATTTATTTATTTGAACACACATGTCTTGGTACAGGAGTGCGCCAAATATATATGCGCCACACAAAACAATGAGAATTCGAAGAGGGACAGGACAGTTCGACAGATGTTGACGGAGCAGCAGGCCAGTTGAACTGCCCATCGTCCAAGACGTCGATAGATGTTAGTGATTGGCATCCCGTCATCCCCACAGATTGTTTCGCTCACACCAGACTTCTTGCTGCCAGTGGCTGGGATGAGTTGGAAGAGCTTCCGGTAATTACCAGATGCAGCTGCTGCTTCCAGCTCATTAGCACGCCTCAACCACCAGGCTTCTCGGTCCTTACTCAAGCTTTGCCCAATTTCGCTACGTAACATCCTTCGTTTGTGGTCAAACTCAGACCAAGGCATGATCAGAGTCCAGATAGGTACTTCAAAAGGAGCGGCAGTCTTGTACACAACCACGCCAACGGTAGCTGATCGCGATGTGACCAATCTGAGTCCAGGCTTGGGATGCAGAAGGAGGACGCCAGGTGGCACATCGGCGATGACTGTGCCGGAAGTGAGTGCTGGCCAGAAACAGGTTGTGGTCTGTGCACAGTTGCAGTAGACGGTCCCCGTTACCTGTGCTGCGACCAACAAGTCCCCATCGGCCACCTAAACGACTCTCTTCTGTGCCTAGACACCCGACCTGAGCATTCTAGTCTCCGGCTAGTACTACAATATCTGTCGAACGCACTTTCTGGAGAAGAACAGTTAACTGGTGGTAGGATTCATCCTTGATTGCATCCGGGCTGCAATCTGTCAGGGCATAGGCGGAGATGATGAAAAGACATCGTTTCTCATTTTGACAGCACATAACCGACTGTTAATGGGGATCCAATCGATTAGTGTTGCCTCAGCTCTAGCGCTTAGTGCGACACCAACGCCAGCAAGACCAGACGAAGATGCCACAGGGTCCCCGGATAAGTGCACGTAAAACAAGCTTTTCGAAGAGACAGATGGAGAGCGAATTTGTAGTACTTCACTCGAGTCTTGAATATAGGTCTCGGATAGACAACAAACGTCGATATTAAGACTTTCCAAAGACGTAGCCAGCCCTATTGTTGTCCGACCTGCATAAATGTGCGAACGTTGAAGGCAGCTAGTTTGAATGGTGCACTTGGTCTCAGAAAAACTGCTTCAGTATTCGTATTTGGTGGTAGCATACAATTTTCAACCGGACAGTGACTCGAGAACGTTTAGATAGAGTCGGTTGGGCCACGTGTTACGTATGCCTGAATACCGATTACCACGACGTGCAATGCTATCCGGTGTTCGGGATGGCTGGAAGAAAGTTAGGGGCGGCCAAACCAAAACGTGGCATCAGTGCTTAAAGTCACTAACTTCTAGTCTGAGCTATGTTGGTAGATGCAGACTACTTGGTTGGGGTCTGCGTGACTATCGTAACCAATGGTTGGAGACTCTTGGTGACATGGCTCAGAATCGATCACAATGGCGTCGGTGTATACACTCTCTGTCTTCCCTTAAACTAAGAGATTAAAGTCGCTTCATATCTTTCTTTCTACGAACCAATTTTTTCTTCTTGTACTATATATCTATATGCAATCTTTCTCTTATATATTACCACCTTTGACCTAACCACTCCTATGAATCCGGTGTTCATCTTGTTGTGCTGATGCGGTATGGCAACCTGGACCGATGCACATATGTGCCTGGTCCTACGTTGTAGCTGACTGACTGACTGAGATGGAGTCGAATTTCCACCAAAGACGAGCTGCTGTATGAGTCGAAAAATATAAGTATAGACAGAGTAGGAATAAAAGAGGGTGAATAATGTCGTAGTAAATAATAATAATAATAGTGATGATAGTAATTTGAATCATTTAATTGTTATTCGGAGCGAGAAATGTAGTTTCCATAGATATAGAGAGTTTATCATTTGCGTGTGGGCTGTGATACTGCCCGGGTGCCCAGACCAAAGTAGGTGGTTATCTTAGGGGCCACCCGAGCCTTTGACCTAAAGGTCTAACCCACAAGGCAGTGGAGCATCGTAAGAAGATGCAGTCCCATGGTAGCAGGTGACTGAAAATTGGTTCATACGCCATTTGTTTCCGCCGGATACTGAATCCCATGTGCACCATTGATTTGGAATCCGGTTAAAGCGCCGGACATTCGCTTTTCGTCCTCTCATTTTCGTAAACAACACCCCCACCACGAGAAGGCAGTGAGTAGGACTTCCCTGGCAGAGGCTGTATACGCGCGGCCGTGTGAGAGTATTTCGAGAGGGAGGGCGAACCCACCTCGCTCTCGGCCATACTAGGACATTTGGGTGTTTTCATCACGAACTGACATCAGCTATAATGCAAAAACTATTTTTCCGAATAAATGAGTGAATTCCGCGCCAAAACCTGAGACCTGTTATCTTATACGTGATTGGTTCGTCCACAAATTATAGTTTCGCCTACATATCCTTTGCTTTCGGTCATTCAGTTGCATCAACTACTGAAACCGAGAAAGGAAACTTCCGTCCATTGTCACTAAATCTTTATGATAGATCTCGGTAGTAACGTAGGTAAGATGGTTTCTAGGCTAAATAAAAGGTAATTTTTGAGCTTATTCCCTACTGTAATCATTATTTTTTTATTGCTAAAAGTCGAGTGATTACGAAGCAGAGATCTTGTTGTAGTTGGATAAGTAACTATACCGTTAAACCACATTCATTGAAATACAAAATTTTGCTCCTTGTAGACTATTTAAAAAGCTTTGATTTTTCGCGATTCAGAATTTAGTTTTGCTTTCAGAAGCTATCTTGTTTTAATCGACTTTCTGAATCATGTAATTGATTAATGTTTTCCAAAAAATTTCACATCTAGGTGATATTGGAAATTATTATTATGGTCAAGGACATCCCATGAAACCGCATCGCATAAGGATGACCCACAATCTTCTTCTTAATTATGGTTTATATAGAAAAATGGAAGTTTATAGGCCATCTAAAGCATACAGCGAAGATATGACAAGATTCCATAGTGACGAATATGTCAAATTCTTGAAGAATGTAAGACCAGACAATATGCATGAATTTAATAAACAAATGCAACGTTTCAATGTTGGCGAAGATTGTCCAGTCTTTGATGGACTTTTCGAATTTTGCCAGTTATCAGCTGGTGGTTCTATTGCTGCAGCCGTGAAACTAAACAAACAGCAAACTGACATCGCCATTAACTGGGGCGGCGGTCTCCATCATGCAAAGAAATCTGAGGCGTCAGGATTCTGCTATATCAATGATATTGTAATAGGGATTTTAGAACTTCTGAAATATCACCAAAGAGTTCTCTATGTGGATATTGATATTCATCATGGTGATGGTGTTGAAGTAAGTAAAATTTTGATCGTTTAATCAAACAGGAAGCTTTCTATACTACTGATAGAGTAATGACCGTTAGCTTCCACAAGTACGGCGAGTATTTTCCTGGAACTGGTGATCTAAAAGATATTGGTGCTGGTCGTGGTAAATATTACGCTGTCAATTGTCCACTGAGAGATGGGATGGATGATGATTGCTACGAGCGTATTTTTAAGCCTGTCGTGACGAAAGTATGTTTCACTGATTTTTTTAACACTGTCTAGGTTATGGAAACTTTTCGACCCGGGGCCGTTGTCTTACAGTGTGGTGCTGACTCATTATGTGGTGATCGACTTGGGTGTTTCAATCTTAGTCTGAAAGGCCACGGAAAATGCGTCGAATTCATCCGCTCATTTCCTTTACCGCTTCTTCTTGTAGGAGGTTTGTATCTAATTGCTTCTTTAATCGCATATTTATTCACGTTTCTGTGTACATTGTGCTGTTTTCTCTAGTGTTCATGATTTTACTACGAAATATATATCAAGTTAAATTCCATGGTTGCAACTGTAATAATTTGTTCACCATACATAGTTACTGACTACCAGTGAACGAAAACTAAAATAACAGTATATTTCAATATCCCCAAGATGCATGTCATGTTTTTTACTTCTGTCATGAGCATATATTAATGTAATTTTATATTTCAGTCACTATATTTATGGTCATTTTATTTCCTTGTCACAGGTGGTGGTTATACAATCCGGAATGTTGCTAGATGCTGGACTAATGAAACATCTATTGCCCTTGCAACTGAGATCCCCAATGATTTACCCTACAATGATTATTATGAGTATTTCGGCCCTGACTTCAAGCTGCATATAAGTCCGAGCAATATGGCTAATCAGAATACTAATGAATATCTTGAGCATATAAAAACGAAACTATTTGAAAATCTGCGAATGATACCTCACTGTCCTAGTGTTCAAATGCAAGGTACGTCTCATGTTTAACTGTTAGTAAATATTTACTAAATACGGTTTTCACTAGATGTACCTTCCTATCCTTCAAGCTGTACCGAAATACTTCGAGTCTTCACTAATTTAAAATCGGATTATTGGACTGATTCTTCAAAGTAACTAGTCAGGATGTCTAGCGTTTTCGGATTAGTTAGCTTTTAACGTCTTTTCCCATATCAGAGGTTCAAAGTAGTGCTAGTGTTAAAACAACAGTTATCTTGTTATGACCCTGTTTATCTGACTGGTCAGATCCAACTGATTGTCTTCCCTTATTGTTTACAGTAATGAGATTAATTGCTATGAATATGATTTTCAACTGTTAGTGTGAAAAACCCCCCCGATCTATCACTTTTCATCACACTTTAAAGTTGCGAATAGATACAACTCATGTGATCTTTCTATATATATGTGGAGGCATTAGGTTTATTACATCCTATGTATGATGCCTGAGAGCGAAATTTTTTCCCTACAAGGGATCGATAAAATATGATGAAACCTTATAGCAAGTATTTTTCTGGTCAGTCAGTCAGCTACAACGTAGGACCTGGCACATATATGCATCGGTCCAAGTTGCCATGCACCAAATTCATAAAAGCAGCTGTTTCTATGGTAGACAACAAGCCATATCACCCAGATTCTTCAACCAATGGTTACGATAGTTGCGAGGACCCAACCGAGTAGTCTGCATCTAACGACATGGTTTATACTAGAAGTTAGTAACTTTATGGACTGATGCCACGTTTTGATTTGACCGTTCCTAACTCTTCCGCCTCCAACATTAGTGAGCATTGCACGCCAAAGTAATCGGTTGTTGGGCATGCGTAATGCTCGCCTTAACCATCTCAGTCGGTGAAGATTCACAACCTCATCAACTAATTTACTATCATCCCCTAATACTCTACACCTAACCTCACCATTACTTATAGATGGTGTATGAACCAGTTATTGGTCTTTTCAAAAATTTCATGTAATTAGTTCCCTTTATGAATTTAAATAAAGCAAGAACAAATATTGATGCAGAATTGTATAAATTCATAATATTTCGAGGTTTCTCGTCAGCTGCTTACAACCAAATGTGTAATAGAATTTTACATTGAGATAAGAAATAGTGTGGAACAATTGACATAAATGAGTGTAAATGATTGGAATGACAAAGGTTTACAATAATAACTATATATATATATATATATATATATATATATATATATATATATAAGAACAGGTCAGAGGTTAATTGGTGTTAGAATTAAGGAAATAATTCAGGATGGGTGGTGTAGTAGTTGAGTGGAGTTTGAAAGGCTAACATAATTTAAGAGGGTAAGTGGGCGGTAATGTGTGAATAAAAAGTTGGTTTAAGTATTCGGTAATGGAGAAGGAATATAACACAAAATATTTTAAAATAAATAAACAAAATAAACATACAAAAAAATAAAATAAAAATGGATTACCAGGGTAAACTCTCCAGGTGGAGTGGAAACGAACTGCTCACTCAAACAAACTAAAATCGACAAGTCCTCTTTTCTCAGTAGCTCCAACTGCATTTACCAATTCACATGTACGTGTCATAGCACACACATTGGAAGAACTGAGAGAAGAGTACTCCACTCAACTACTACACCACCCATCCTGAATTATTTCCTTAATTCTAACACCAATTAACCTCTGACCTGTTCTTATATATATATATATATATATATATATACATATATATATATATATATATACATATATATATATATATAGTTATTATTGTAAACCTTTGTCATTCCAATCATTTACACTCATTTATGTCAATTGTTCCACACTATTTCTTATCTCAATGTAAAATTCTATTACACATTTGGTTGTAAGCAGCTGACGAGAAACCTCGAAATATTATGAATTTATACAATTCTGCATCAATATTTGTTCTTGCTTTATTTTAATTTCAATTATTGGTCACCAGCTACCATTGGACTGCGTCCCCTGACGTTGTTCCAATGCCTTGTGGATCAGACTTTTGGGTCGAAGGCTCCGGGTGTGGCCCCCTGAGAAAACCACCTGCTACGGTTTGGGCACCGGATAGTATCGCAGCCCGCACACAAATCAAGTGACTTGTGTGGCGCATATGTAATCAGTGCCCCTTTGTACCAATATTCGTGTTCAAAGTAAAATAATGACTTACCTGGTCATCCCAGAAGATTCTGGCAATATTTCTGAGGCATCTGTGATCAAATACTAGTAACTTATGAGTATCTGATTTTTTTGTGTTTGCAGTCCACGAATATTTGTTGGGCGTGCGATAATTATTGGGGTTAGTATTTTAGATGCTATGTTAGTTAAACCATTCCGTCTATGGTTACCACGGGGTGATTTTGACCCCTTATATATTGAAACGATCAGTCAGATGGGATTACGTCCAACTCCTAGATTTTAGCTAAAATATTTGTCAACCTAATCGCTAAAACTAGACCACCGTTCGTAAAGACCTCTGGAGTTAATCATTCTGGACCAGCTATTCTTCCTCGTTTCAGATCAGCTATAGCTTTTTGAACTTCAATTAGAGTTGGGGGACCTATTTTTATGTTCTAATCAGGCTTCTTGGAAATAGTGGGTGGCTGTAGAGTAGCTGAAGTGCTCCTTAAAGTGTCCCACCTATCTTTCTAAACATGCGGACTTACGTTGCAGCTGAATGACTGACTCTTAATTCCAGTTTCTTTTATTAGTCTGAAAAGCCGTCTTATGTTACCTACAGCCGTTGCCTTTTCCATCTCTTGTTTTCTTTGCCCACCACTGCTCACGATCGGTCCTTAGACTTTTGGTTAACCTAGATCTGATTTGTTTTCGCACGTCATCCTGTTCGGAACCTTATGGGATTTTCGCTAAACCATATTTTTCACCTTCATGAAATATTCAGTTCCTTTAAGATAGATTTATTCACAAGATTAAGTCATTTTTGTACCAGTATTTTGGGAGCAGAAATATGCTCGGTGTCAGTATTTAATGTTTGTCTACATTTTTAAATAATATTCAGCACTCAGTTGTCTTATTATGTAACTTGACCGTTAGATATTCCGGATGACATTGTCGATTTTGACGAAAATGATGCTGTTGCAAAAGATTTAGCTGATCCAGACAAGAGGATTTCAATAATGGCTGCGGATAAAGCCATCATGCCCAATAATGAGTTTTTCGACGATCCAGAAGAAGGTTCTGGGCTTGGAGGCACCACACTTCGATCAGGCAAATCAGCTTCACGAGATGTTCAAAATCACCGAGACCAACCAAAACGCGCACGCACGGATGAAGATGCCAGTTCATCCACCACAAAATCAAACAGTAAAGAAGGAAGTGGGTCTAAAAGGTCAGATTCTACTAGTGACAAGGTAAAGTCATCACTGATTTCTATGATTACTTATGATAGTTAGATGTTATGTCCCCTATTGTAGACCACTTTTTTAGTTAACTGTCATCATCGTACTATTGAAATGTGTCAAGTAATTACTTTTTTAGGTATGTAGTTTGTTAGTATGTGTTGAATGTCGCTCTCACTAGTGTTAAGAACTAAACAATAAATACGATTGACACTAATAAATGTACTGATCCCCACATGTTTCATACTTCTGTACCTTTCAAGATGTTTGGGTAGCGTAGTGAAGATCGATATTCCTGTACCCATTTTGAAATGTAGTTGTTCATGATCGTTTCATACTGTTTTCAATATGTTATCTCTAGCACAAAATTAGAAGACCTTCCTGAGATCACACTTGGATACTTTCATCTCGTTGACCACATTTCCAATTCAACCAAATTACTAATGATAGAGTCATATTGTATCTATCAGCAACTGTTATCTGTTTAGTGACTTGATTAGTTCATGTTGGAGAGTTTGTAGTAGTAATAATCTGAGATTTTATTCATCCTTCTTAATCTGTGTATATTTCCCATAACTGGTCATTCTAGCGTTTCTTCTGTCTTATTGTGTCCTACAAAATAAGTCAATAATATTTCATAAACTGATCATTTGATTTGCATTGTTTGCTTGGTCAGTTTACAACATGCAGATTTTGTTGTGGTCATTATGTTCAAAGGATTCATTTAAATTATGCATTCTCTTGGAACTCACATCAATGAGAGTTGTGTTTTTTTCTCATTCTTATACACAATTGATTAGTGAGAGATCTAATAGAATGGCACTTAACACTTCTGTTCGGTTTTAGGTTCATGTGATCTTGTCCTCGCTTTTAGGTAACCGTCTATCCATTTCCATTGCTAACTAAATATCTACAACACTATCCAACTGAACTACTCAATAATTCTTTATGACAATTGCTTTCAGCAAACCGTGGTAATTCGACGTTCTTTGTTCATTAATTGTCCTAATCGTCGAATTTACCACTGTTTGGCGAAGCAGTTGCCATTAAGAGACAAACCAAATTTGTGTATCTAAAATTATTCAGTTACCAATCTTGGTCTGCGTTTGTGAACTCATACACAAATGTTTATTATGCAATTTTTTCATGACACTAATTGTTAATACTAACTTATTATCTGATCTGTACTCAGTCAATTTTGTTTTAAGGGTTACATACCTATAGCATTAATATCTTATTTCTAAATAATTTTGTTTCTATATTTTCAGTCGTTCATACAAGAATATTTTTATATTCACATTATTTAACATATGAACACTTATAGTTCTTCCATAGTTATTGCTTTTTCATTAATCCTTATTGTTGATAACACTTCTGATACTATGATATAAAGCGTGTACACTGATTTTTAATGATTAGTACTATTATGTTTAGGCTGTAAGCAGCTGACTAGAAATCGCGAAATATGGAGGATTCATGTTATTCTGTTACATTAATTTTTCTTGCCTTATTCAAATTTATAAATGGGAGGAATTGTATTAAACTAACTTTTTACACGATTGAAAATTCCCATTAGTAAGTCTTTAGGAGATAGTAATCTGTTTCAACAAGCTAGTATCTCTGATTTGCCCAGAAACCACATAGTACTTGGTCATATCATAAATAATAGTGATTCTCGTCACTGGTTTATTTGTATGTGGTGATAAAGACTCATTTCCTTTTGGTTATGGATATTCATTTGGTTGTGTGAATTGCGTGCGGAGTTTGACGAAAGTCAAATAAGTTTACGCTTAAAAACAATACGACTTGCCTATTAATAAAATTAATCTTTACGATAAAATCGAACACTTGTATTCATACATGATTATTAGTCATTTAAATCATAAACTACCATAGAATACGAGTTTAGAGGTTAAATCTATCATTAGAATTGAGATTTGAACATCTGGCTTAACTCTCGCTCGTTTTAACTTTATCAATCATTTAATAATTTCTCGTTTTAGCGTTCGGAGTCCAAAAGCGATTTTGTAGAAAAAATGGAAGTTGATTTATCTAAAAAAGCCAACGGTCTAATAGAACCGGAGCGAGCTGCTAATTAACTGGGTTTCTGTCACATTGTTTACTCTTAATAATTTTTGTAAATGTCTTTGTCCCTGTCTTCTTTTATACAAATAATCCCCCGTGATCCACATGAAGGTCATGTTTATGATATCCTGTGTTCATTGTTTGTTTGACATCTAACTATATGTATTCTCTCTTCTTATTTTCCGGAATGGCCTGTCATATTGTACGCATTTATTCGACTTAAATACTACTAAATTGTACAGTTCCTGCAAAAGTATACCATTTGCTATTCTAATGTTCAGTGAATTCAATTTTGCTTATATGTTTTATGATAAAGGTAGGTAATAAAAAATTACAGTATTCAAATGACCACTTTTCTGTAATTCAAAAATATATCGACCAGCTGGCAGCAGGATGGAAAATCAGTTTCCGTACAAGTTATTCATTTTGTACAGTTTTGTTTAGAAAATGAGTACGTAAATAAACAGCAACATTTCACTGAGTCACTTCAAAGTAGTGTTCTTTTAGTTAGCGAAAGTTAAGATATATTAATAAGTGCTACTGGAATAAGAAAGTTTAGTTTGATGTATACGAAAACTTATTGTCTATTTGAACTTACAGTTCTATGCATTAACAACAGGTTTAGTCACAGAAGAATATACATGCCCCTTATGCGAATACCCAGTTATAACAGCTACATGTTATTAGTTTCCGAAATAAAAGGAGCACAATAATACTGTTTTGTGATACAACTAATCGTGGATTTTAAAATGACTTGTACGTCACGATCTGTAAAGTAAGTATCCATTGTTTATAAAGCTGTATCTCGTACTATTTCTAACTTTCACGTTGAAAAATCTATAGTGAGTTTATGGGACAATCACTATGCAAACATTTAATGTCAGAAATTAATATGGGAGAATAACGATTACTTACTGACTGCTTTGAAAAATATGGAGAATATTTGTAGGACTTAGTCCATTTCGGTGGCGAAGTTCTGGTTATCCTACTTGAGTTTACCCATAAAGTTTTGTTAGAGCAAATGGTTGTGTCTAAACATAGATGCTTCCAGATTTTCAGCAGTGGCCTAGCTTAGAATTCAACTGATAAAATTACTATAATCTCCACAAACCCCAATTCTGATAATAAGTAGAATGTGGTGCAACAGAAGGGATAAGTAAGTAATATGAGTGAAGTATCCAACTTTCGTTTGTTTGGTGGTAGCCTTTCTGATATTTCGCCATTGGAAATTGTTGTCACGTAATCTTAGAACTAATTTGATTGATATGTTTTACAGCGAGTCTCTAATACTTGGGCCTCACTACAAGTCTTTGTAATTCCAATAGATAAGTATGGTTGTGATGTGTATGCTTTTGTGTAGGACTCAAATTGTTTTTCTAGTCATATGCGGGAACTAAAGGTAAATTAAACACAGTATTTAAAGTTCTCAAATATGTTTTAGCATCTGATATTTGTTTATGTAAAATTTGTACTAACTGATTATTCCTGTGCAATTGATTACGTTCATTAGTGCTCATCTAGCTTAAATTACATTCGTGGTGACAGTGAAATGTCGCTGATCTCTATCCAAATCATCCGGCAGTTGAGTCACTTAATATCGAAAAGATCATCAATCCCTGTCAAGCACATTCAACGCGAATCGGTTAATCGTACACCATGTATAGCAGTTCCAATGGTTGTGATATGTATGTTTTTGTGTAGGACTTTGTCTGTTCATAACAAATGACAAGAAATTATCAGTTAAATGTCAACTGGAAGTTGTCCAATTCGCTTTTTTGCATTTCCGCTCATGCCTAGGATATCATAGATCGAGCAAACTCTGCCACTGTAGTTTTCACGAGAATTATAAGTCAATCCCGTGCTTACGAATCTGTTATCAGAATGTTGGATGAGACCTCACAATTATTTTCGTTAAACTCAAATAACGCTATTTATTAAGTAGACTACTGGATAGTGTCATAAATAATAAGTTTCAATAGGTACATGACAAGGGTATTTTTGATACATAGCTAAGTAACATAACTAATTTAAGAGCGGAAAATGACATGAGAACAGTTACTGAGTAGAAACGAGAGCTTACAATTAGAAAAATGTAGAAGTTAAGTACAACAGCTATTTGATAAATTTTTGTCAAGAATGTAGTAGCTACTTCGCAAAAGAACGACCACTCGAACTTCGTGGACTTTGTTTATTCCTAGAAGCGTTCAACCCATTGGTTCAGGCTCTAGGTAACCGCTATGGACAATCCATGTAACACAGCTCAAAATGCTGGATGATTAGATTTGATCCTCGGTAAGAGTTACACCCTGATATGCAGCGCTCACTCACCATATCAAGGAAATAATGGATGAAAACGCTTTGAATATTACAGTGTGATGGACATGATTTGTCCATAGTTGACTAAATGCTCCAAAATAGTCTTTTTAAAATAATCTACACATTTAAAGGAATTAAATCGAAGGGAGGTCGAGTCAAAAACTTATGCACTGCTGAGGTATTGGCATTTCACCAACTGAAATCTGCGTGCAAATACAATAAGACCAACTTCTCATCCGTCTTTGGCCCCAATTCCATTTTTGTAGTATGTTTTAGTTAATTTTTCTAAATCAGTGTTTTGTAATTTTACACCGCAATCAGTTACTATTATCCTTTAACAGTTTTTTCATGATTATTATTCAGTTATTATTACGACCTTTGTGTTTTTCATTTTTCTCACATCTGTCAAGTGGACAGTTATCTTTGTAGTAGTAAATAAATCCCTGAAATCAATAACTCTGTAAGTCTTCGACGTTTGATACTGCCCAAATTAGTTTGGATGGACTCACCTAGCTGAAGTCACGCATCCGCACCAGATCACGAGTGAGAACGCTGTGCTTCACATCTACGACCACTAGCCAGTTTAGATTAGTCACTTTTCGATATATCGATATTCTATCATATATATCTTCGAACCTCCTCGCATTTGATTTCACTAGGTTGGCACGTTTCGATTATAAAAGGTGCTACTGGTCAAGGTGTTGTCGAGATGGTTCAAATGGTTTGGACGGAGTAGAAGAAGCTTTAACTTAACAGGCTTCCATATCTAGTAGCAGGGGCTCCTCAATACCTCCAGGCAAGAACCTAGTTATATTAACTATAATGGATCAAAAAAAGAAGTCAGTAACTCATACTAAGATGTTAACTTTAGTCCTTAAGAATACGTCAGTTTTCCTCTTAAAGGACGCCTGCGAAGTCGCTTGGACTAGTGCATTTCGCAGCGAATTCCAGCATTTGACATCTCTTAAGGAGTAAAATTGGTATCTACATTCCGTTCTGCTGTGTTGTATCTCCGATTTCTGGGTGATTCCCCTTAGTTTTGTATTGGGACTAAGTTTAAGTAGGTTTTTAAGGGGGTGTCCAGAAGTGTTAAGGATACTGTAAGCCATCGGAATGTCACCTCTAAGACGCCCATACTTAAATGGGTATACGTCAAATGATTTGGGGCACTCTTCATGAATTTTGAGTTTGAGTCCCCGAACTGTTTTCGTGGCTCCCCGTTGGATACGCTCCGGAGTGTCCCTATCTTTTTGGGGTGAGGGAGGAAATACTATGTTTCCGTAATCTAAATGGGGACGAATAAAACTGTTAAAGACTATGTGGAAAGTTCCATCAAACTGGCCCAAAATGCGCTTCAATGTTACCAGTGCAAGGTTTGCTCGGAAGGCATTTTTATCACAGTTAGCGTAAGACTTGAAATAGTAGGTTACCAGGACTCCCAAATCTTTTTCGACTTGGGATACTACTAGTGAGGAGTTTCTTAAGTTGAAACTGTAGTCAGCAACGTGTCACAGATGGACTACTTTACACTTTGAAATGTCAAAGGTAAGTCCGTTATCGTCTGCCCAACTTTGAAGTCGAGTCAGATCCTCCTGAAGTGCCTGTACATCGTTTCTGTTGCGTATCTCTCTCCAAAGTTTCACATCAGCGAAAAGTAATAAGTCTGACGATACCTGTTGAGGAAGATCATTTATGTAGATCAAGAAGAGAAGAGGTCCTAGTGCTGAGCCCTGGGGATCCCACTAGCACATTCCATAGCCTTAGATAAATTGAAATTAACCCTGACCTTAAAGTGTCGTTTTTCAGGTATGAAATGAGCCAATCAATCAGAGGTTGTATGATACCCAATCGTTTGAACTTATTGATAAGGCATACACGGTTAACCCTATCAATAGCTTTTGAGAAATCAAGGTAAATGATATCAACCTTCCCCTTGTGATCAAAGATGCTTGTCCATCTGTCCACCGCAGTCAGCAGGTTTGTCATACAAGTGTAACCCTTCCTGAAACCATACTGTTGGGATGAGAAGAAATTTAAGGACAGTAAACAACATTTATACTATCGCATATCAGGGACTCCATGATTGTTGCAGGTATAGAAAGAAGTGTCACCGGTCGGCAATTTGAAGGTGCGCTGCGTCGACCTCCTTTGAAAATCGGTGTGATGTGAGCTAGCTTCCAATTGTCCGGTAGTTTGCCTCGGCTAAGCGAGGTTGCCTCCCTCAGTATAGCAGAATAAACCATATCTGGGCCAGGAGAAGTGTCAATTCTTAAGTGCTGCAGTTTCCGGAATACCATTCAGCGCTCAGGTTCACTTCGCATGTCCTTTGGAGTTGCAGATGAAACTGTCATCAGTATAGTTGATGTGGGTCGTTTGAAATGTCCGAGAGTATTGTTCAGCCAAAAAGTAGGCAGCGTCGTCGTTGGTCGGGCTGTTAAGACCTAGCAGTTGGGAAACACTTTTGGCTTGACGAAGAGAGGCTGCATAACGGAATAAGCTTTTAGGATTAGAGGCAAATTTGTCCATAAGCTTTGTCTGGTACTGAAGCCTATCTTCTCTTATAGCCTTCGTGCATATGTTCCTTATATGTTTGTATTGCCTGTACGCTCCATTGTTGTCAGTTCGTTTGTACTCTGCACAACAGTGCCTTTTGCGGCTTTGCAGGCGAAGATTGAGGTTCTTAATGATTATAGGTTGC